ATGTCTCTCCACTTATTCTAATCATCTATATCCTTTATTATAATTTTAAAGGTTTTTTTTTTCCCATAGAATCTGTTTGTAGGTTTTATTCTTGTGAGTACTATTCTTATGATATTTTATAATTTTTTATAGTTGGATTCTACTCTTTCTTGTAGAAAAATGGTCTCAAATTTCAGATTGATTTGACATCTGATAACTTTGTTAAACCATCTTATTAATTCTAGCTTATCCTTTGTATATCCCAGGTATTAAGCTTGACATGTCTGTGACATCCGATTGGAGGCATAGAATAGGCAGTTGAATATACAAGTCAGGAGTTCAAGGGAGATGATCAGGCTAGAGGTATAAATTTCGGCATTGTCAGTATACATATGGTACTTAAAGTTATGTAAATTGATGAGAGCACCAAGGGAGTGAATATGGATAGAAAAGAGAAGTGATCCCAGGAGATGGTGACAAGTTGAGGAGAGGAGCAAGAGCCTTTAAGGGAGCAGCCAGTAAGGGGACAGGAAAGCCAGAGTAGTGTCATGCTCCTGAGCCAAGTGAGGACGTATTTCACTTCTACATAGTCTATGTGTCTGCTTCCTCCAGCAGAAATAAATCCCTTGAAGGTTTTCTTAACTTCTCCTATAGTTGACTGGTGTGGTCAGAGAGTAGGAGTAGAATTCTGCTGACTCCCTGAGTGTGTCACGCCTGGCTCCACCACTTCCTAAGTAGGTGTCATTGGGCAAGTTACTTAACTCACTGTGCCTTGGTCACCTCATCTGTTAAATAGGGTTGATAGTATTACTTACCTCATACGATCATACAACTTAAGAGAGTTCATTGATGTAAAAGCTTTTATAACTCTCAGGCATCTAGTAACCTCTCATCAAATATTACTGTTTGTTTGTATTGTTGTTCTTATCAGCAGTATCTACCACAATATTTGCCATATTGCTTAATATGCTTCTTGAAAAAATGATTCTGTGAGCAGGGTATGTGAGGGAGAAGGGAGGGCAGGATGAGCTACATTTGACATTAGAATTCCTCATGAGGAGTTTGTGAAGCTTGGAAAGTAGGAAAGTGCATCAGGATGGAACACGTTCTTAAGTTCCCAAGTTTGGATTTACGTCGGACTAGCTATTCAAAAAGACTGGCTAAATAATAAGAATAAAAACATAAACTGTAATTTAAAAAAAAAAAGGGAGGGAACCTATAGATTACAAAAGATGTAAGAAATATATCACCTGTATGCAATGTGTCAGTCCTGATTCAAAGAATGGGTAATTTTTTTTTTTTTCCTTTTTGTCTTTTTTTACTGACTGGTAACGGGATCGCAACCCTCGGTGTTGCGCACACACCACGCTCAGCCAGTGAGTGGGAACCGGTCTCCACATGGGATCCAAACCCTCGGCGGGAGCGCCGCCGCGCTCCCAAGCGGCGCACTCTTCAGTGCGCCACTGGGCTGGCCCAAAGAATGGGTAATTTTAAAAAAATTAATGAGACCATTGGGAAATTCGGCAATGATAGCAAATTGATATTAAGTAATTATCATTTCTCATCTGTAATAGTTTATGATTATGAATTAAAATTCATTTCCCTTTCAGAGATACATACAAAAATATTTACAGATGAAATTACATGAGGCCTGGTGGGAAGGGGCAGTGAGTGTGGTTATAGATGAAACAAGGTTGTCCAGGAACTGATAATTATTACAGTTGAGTGAGAGCTCAATGGGGTTCATTACAGTATTCCTTCTAGTTTCGTATTGCCTTGAAATTTCCATAAGTGAAAGTTCAAAAATCAAAGCACTCTGTTTACCAATTATAATGGTTGACTTTATTATACTAGATTAGAATTTGAAAAACAAAAAACTTGGCTTAATATTCGACTGGAATATAGTCGCAGTCAGCTTACGAAAAAACTGCATAAGGTCAATGCGTTAAAAAAAGACATCCAGAAAAGAAGAGAAGACATCGATAACCTAAAGAAGGTAATAACAGGTGGCTGAAGTGCCTCTTTATTTAAATTATAATGTCCTTCCTTGAATAAACATGTCGAGCTCCTGAAGGTTCCTAATAGTGATAGAAGGAGTTGGGTGCAGATTTGAAAAATACTTCAAATCAGCAGAGCTTCATGAATTATGGGATGTTGAAGTTTGAGGGAGGGCGAGGGGGGACCCTCCCAATTTTTGCTAAGTTCCAACTTGGATGACTGGTGACTGTAGGATCAGGTTAAGGAGAGAAAATTCTGATCCGGTGGAGCTTGAATTGCCTTTCTACCATCTATATGGCAGTTTCCAGCAAGTAGTTAAAGAGTATGTAGATAAGGGGAGAAATTTGTATAGGCTGGAGATTCAGATTTGGGAGTTGCTGGTTTATGGGAGTCCATTAAAACCATGTGAGAACTGTTGAGACTCCCAGGCAGGGAGGTAGGTAGTGAAGAGCAGTGAGCAATGATGGGATTCTGGAAGGTTCCTTCTTAGGATAGGAAGAGAGCCAGAAGAGGTTGTATCATTGAAGCCCCAGAGTTTCAGGAAGAAGGATGTGAGGAAGGGTGTCAGAAAGGTACAGCCTGGAAAATTTCTGTTTCATTTCCTAATTGAGGCCATAGCAAGACCCACTTTCACTGGACAGTGGGAACAGAAGTCAAATGGCCGTGAGCTGAGGAGTGAATCCAAATGAAGGACGGAGGCAGGTAGTGATTACCAATTTCCAAAAAGCATAGAATGAGAGTGTGGCACAATCTATAATAGAGGTTCAAGCAGCACACAGAATAATGAAATGGTTTGGTTTTATTGGTAATGCGGTAATCTGTTGACCTTATTCGCATAAAAGATGTTAATCTACAGTGCAGATCCTCCCCATTCAGGCTGAAGAAAACTGTCGGCAAATCCTGGATGAACTCATGGCAAAGCAGCAGCAACTTAAAGACGTAATTATCACTCAGAATTCCAACATTGACACAGTTCAAACTCAAATTGAAGAGGAACGGAAGAAGTTTTTGGCTGTTGAAAGGTAATTAATAATTCATCAATTTCAAAGACCTAGCCAGAGTTTTAAACATGCATACCATTGATATGAAATTTCAAACATTCTGGGTTTGGGTTTTTTTGGCATCTGGCTGGAATGGGGATCCAAACCCTTTGGTGTTACAACACCATGCTCTGACCAAATGAGCTAACCAGCCAGCCGCAATATTCTAATTTGGGGGAAAATCAAGAGGGGTAGTTAGTTGTTTAGAGTAAATAATCCTTTTTGGTGGATGAAAACATGAACCTGTTAGAGAGTCCCTAACCTTCAATCCCTCTTGATACTGGTATCTTCCTGCTGTACAGAGATTCCCTGTAGTCTGTGCAACACAGCACACAGGGTCAGAGAGTAGAATGTAGAGCCACACTGCCTGGTGTCACGTCCCAGCTCTGCTACTTACATACTATGCTTTACTTTCCTCATCAGTAAAATGGGATAATAACAGTGCCTACCTTATAGAATGCTGTGAGGATTAAATGAGTTAATATTCATATGGCACTTAGAATTGTGCCTGGAACACGATGAACATACATCCTCCATGATTGTGATGACACTTTGAATCGGCTGGCATGTTGTACCAGAATGACATCTGCTTTC